GATGATCAGCAGCAGATGAGTTAGAGCAAGTTGACGGAGGAGCAGGAGTAGGAGGTATCGCTTTCGTTGCTACTTTTGTTGTCGTATCAGATGCATTCAACGGCACAGATCGTTCAGATATCATTTGGTTGGACATCTCGATTGTTGAAGAAGACGAAGACACTGCTTGCTGTTGCTCGTTGTTCGATGGTAGTGCATTGCTGGATAGGTTTCGCTGCTGAAATTCCAATGAATCGCTAGCAAAACTCTTTTGAAATCGCAACATAAGTGAAAGAAATCTTGAACGAATCCCATTTGCGGACCAAAAAACAGAACAGAATTCAATGAATCAGAATCATATTGATGTAGATGCTAAAGAAAACAACTTCAATATCTCCATCACCGTTATCTGGCGATTGCCCACAACAAGATATTTGTAAAGTGAGCACACTGTCAAGTTTTCATGAATTGATATAAAATCAATGTATATTTTTCTATTCAGATTGTACCAACACGATAAGGAATCAAAAAAGTCGTTCTAAATAAAACCCTCGTAAGGGATAGAGTTCCTGCTACAACTCTGCAAACAGCGTTCACACTCAACAAATCGTCATTCCATTAATTGATTTACTGACAATGACAATATTCTTATATATTTCATAGTTTACTGTTAAGATGTTCAATTTTCGAGCAAACACGAGGAAATGAAATGAATTCGCACCACAACTATATTGTTAAAAATCACTTACGAGTTGTCGTTTCGAGTAACGTTTCTCGGACTTATTCGACTCCATCGAAGCGGTACGTGAGCGATGCTGAACGGAACAGGATGACGTTGAGCAAATCGATGAGGCACTCAGTTGTGCGGTTGGTATTGGGATAGCGGTTGCTGACTGAATCGGTGCTTGTTGTTGCTGCTGCTGCTGGTGGTGGTGCTGCTGTTGTTCGGTTGATGTGTACAACTGAGACGAACCAGAAACGAGGCTAGACGTCGTCGAGAATGCTTCAAGTCCACCCGATGGTTCGGCAGTTGTACCAGACGAACAACGTTGCTGTTGCTGGTGTTGTTGCTGCTGCTGATCGTTCTGGGAAGTGGATAGGCGACGACGACTTCAAACAGAGTTTTTATTGTAATTCCCAGTGTTATTCACGAGTAATTCATTCGATTCAAATCATAAAGAACATGAAGTTTCAACGAATTTCATTCGAGAAACAACTTAAAGAATCTGGC